ATATATGGCGAGTGCTGTAATGCTGCACTCACAATTAAAATTTTATTATTTTGTAATTGTAATTTTATGTTAAAATTAAATACTTTTATTTTATGAAATATAATTTAGCATAATCATATAAAATAGTTTTCAAAATTTGTATTATGTATGAATTTGTGTCATTGGACTCCCAATTCATGAGTGAGAGATTAAATAGATTCTTAGGTGGATAAGCCTGAAGGGCAAAGGGATGCATATACATATATTATAATAATGTGAATTCAAAAATTGTATGATTTTATCTATTCAACATATTATTTTAAACCAGATGGCTTTACAGCTTTTTGGTGGATCATACTGTTGTGCTAACTGTAAAATATCAGCATTTTGAGTTAGTATAAATTCTTGGTATTAAAGAATAAAAAGAAGAATAACGTAAAAATGATGCACAATTTTTTATATTAAAATTTTAAAAATTAGATTTGTAGAAGTAGTTCGAACTAATGAGAATAAAATATCAATACTAAGTGAATGTTGAATGTAGATTGTGGCTATTGTCTTCAATGTTGTTGGCATACTAAGGTTGAGTATTATGACAATTCTGTCTTATGGGAGTCAAATATGACACATTTGAAGACTACAAACTAAGCAATGCTGGAAGGTCAAGGATGTCATTGAGGTGGTCGAGACATTCCTCCTTATTAGTGGGGTGAAACAATGCATGAAGGTATTTGAGGGAGGCCAAAATAATCCTATATTTAAAAGTGAAAAAGATGCAAATTTGAAGAAAACAGAGTGGGGAGACATAATAAGCTCATGGAGGTGGTTGAGGGGAGTTAAGACAATCAACTTCATGGAGACGGAGATATCACAACCTGAAAAATGATGGGTGAAGCAATATAGTAAAAGTTGTGGAGGCGATTTATATAGTTCGGGTCATATAAATCTACAAATTTAAGTTATGATTTATTTGAGATAGCTTTTTTGTTGCTTAAGTTTTTTAGACATGATATGTCACAAAAAATTGCATTGATCAAATACGGATCCCAAAGCATATATGAGTTGACAACTTTCAAAATTAAATCTGGGGCCATCTAATTGAACGTCTCGAAAAGATGAGTTCAATGACAACAAAATAGGTCAAATCAAAGCCCAAATGAGTCCAAATCACAGTGGATCATTAAAAAGGTTCAAAGCATAAATTAGATAACCAAATGATATCCAAATATACATTCTTATAGTTGATTGGAGTGTAACAACTAGACGAATCCAATGAGCCTAAGATTGCTTAATTCAGACATCAGTAAGGCACTTAAATCCATTGTCGTCCAACCACAATCCTTCCGACCTCCGTCCCTCGCGCGCCTATCATGGTCCCTTTGACAACCGTCACCTGATTATGATCTCTCTGAGGCTCCGACCACCGTCGCCTGCCGACTACGGTCCCTTCGACCTCCATCGCCCAACTATAGTCCTATTAACCAAACGAACAAGCCAACTTTCTCTTGAGAACAACTCTCATGTCAGTGGATTTTTCCAATCCAATCATGTAATGTGCTCGTTATGATGTATATTTAATACATTGAGTCAATGCCTTCTCCCGAGAAAGAACCTCATTTATAATCAACAAGAAACATTAGCATGTTCTTTTCAATTGGGCAATATATCGTGATTTTTCCACCTTTTCAAGGGTTTCCACCTAGCAATTTTGGTGTCTCTTATGATTACTGACCCCTCTCACTTTATATGTGTTTGTGTTAGATATTCATTTAAAGCTAAGACATTAAGCTCCTTATCTCTCTAATGTCTCAAATATTTCGGCCCCAACAAATAGTGGCGGAGCCAGGATTATTTATCTGGCAGTGCACAAATTTCTAATTTCAAAAATATAGTCAAGCTTTTTATTTGAACTTGAAATTAACATTAAGGTTTGATTTTATTTTTAAATATCTAACTTAAGATTTTCATATCTAATTTAAATAAAAAATAATTAAAAATTATTTTATAATGAGCAATAAATATATATAAAAAGCTGAATCATATTAATATAAAAATATATAAAAAATTATAATTAGCATATTTTAAGCTACTTGATTTAAATTTAAATATTGTAATATTTCTCTAGTGTAATTTGTTGGATTTAATTACATAATTTTTCTATAAAAGAGAATTTGGATATTTTAAAATAATTTAACAAATTGATGAATTTTTTATTTAAAAAACTAGTAATGTGAAGAAAAATAATTAAAATGGAAAAATATATAAATAAAGAGATAAATATAAATGAAAAAAACAATTTTAAGATGGTCTAATAAAAATAAATATAAATAGCTAAGTGAAAAATATCATCACTCTCATGAGATAGAGAGAGAGAGAGAGGATCGGAATAAGATATTAGGGTTTTTATCGTGTAGCACAAGAAGAGAAAGGGAAAGCAAGGAGGGTTCAGTTACCTTGTTTGTGCTTAGGGATTCAAAGGCATGTGCAAGATTGGATTTTTGAGGAGAGGGGTCAGGGAGTTTTGTTGTGGTTTTAGAACGCTATTAAGTATTAACTTTAAAGATTATGAACCAATGTTGACTTATTTATGTAAATCCTAAACTACTAAAATTTAAAATATTCTTAAAATAAAAACACTTGAATTAATATTTTTATTTATATTTAAAATATTAATACCACATATTTTTTACACGTACATTTAAACTAGTCAAATTATAAATTTGTAAAATGAAATTTGTGCTTGGTCCAAATTTTACTTCTTTTCTCAATTAAATGAGATTATATTATTATTGAAGCACACTCTTCAAGCTTGCAATAGAAGCTATTGGGTAGCTTGAAATGTACTTTTAATTTTAAAGTTAAGCTTCATTTTGGACAATTTTTTTACTGCTTCTTAAAGCAATTTTTTAATACAAATTTTTTATTTTTTATACTTAAAAACTATTTTAAGAAACAATAAAAAAACCGTTTCAAACAAAGCATAAAAGTTTCTGAGGCAGCTCTAACTTTTTATAAAGATGATTATAAAATTATTATGAAAAAATTAATTTTTTCAAAAACTGATAACAAAATAACTTTATAACATAAAATTTTTATTAAAGTAACAAAAAAAATAATCAAATAAAATTATAATTACATTTCAAAAAACAAAACAATAAAAAAATTGTTCCAAACAAAACTTTACAAGGTTCATTGTTCAACTGTCAGCCACAATTTTTTTTACTTCTAGTTTAAGATTCTTTAAGGCCAACAAAAAGATCAAATTCAAAATATAAGATAACTGACATCAGAACATAAGAGTAAATAATCAACGAAGTAATTAAATCATCATTAAATAAGCATTTTATTAAGTTCTTAATGAACTATTTGTTGAAAAAAAAACAAAAATGAAAGAACTAAAAAACACAAATCTAATTCAAAATGAACTTTACAACATTCCCAATATTCACTTTATTTCTAAACCATCAACTGCAAAAGATAGCTAGCAAGATAAAAAAACATTCCAAACCTGCAACAAGCCTGCCTGCCTCCTCATATTTTGTCATTGCTAAGAGAGAAACAACAGGCCTTCTTCCTCCTACAGTATTTTTTGGAAGTCAGCAGCTCCTAGCAGTGGTGCCTGAGGCTGAGCATCTCCTTCTCTCATTGCATTTGCAAGCTTCGGAGACTTGAAACCCCACCTCTCTTCCACTCAACCATAAATTATTCTGTGCGGAGTCCGGACATTGTCCAAAGGCCAATAAAAATGCGCCAAGTCACCTTAAAAGTGCACCGTACTTGGTACCAAGCAGTACCAGATGGTTATCCCGTCTGATGTCCGGACAGAAGAATAATATCTCCCACTCAACAGAGCTTTTAACTGAGCATCCTTCTCCTTTATCTTCCTTTTCCTGTGGTGATGGCAATTTCTTAGAGGGATCAACAGGAGCATTAATAGACGGGAGATAATAGGATTTAGGAAATTCAACTACCACTGCGTGTAAGAAATCAAATATCACAAATTAATCAGAGGATCTCTAATGGTGTTCACACATATCATATAAATAACCATATAAAATTTCAACCAAAGTGTTGGTAGTAATGAGGTGATTACATGACAGTTCAAGAGAGGTGGCTATCAGGAAGGAGATACGGCTCATTTCCGTAGTCAAATAAGTGACCTACAAGTTAAATCGAAGAAACTAAACATTGAACACAAGCTTAATTGAAAAGACAAAGCAAGTGTCTACAAAATTCAAATTAACAAGAATTGGGAAAATATCACAAAAAAAAAAAAATTATTACATTAAAATGGGTATTTTTTTATGAACTTAATCCATACTCTCTCACACTATCTTCTATCACTAACGAAATACATGTCATATTCTTAGAGAACTTCTGATTTAAGAACTAAGCAAGATCAAATCATGATTAAAGGATGTAGCCTGTTCAAGAAGGCTAAGATGCAAAGTAGGGAAGAAAAAAATCTTAGTAAAGAGAAAATGTTATCAAATATATTCCCCCTTTCTCATCCCTTCTTTACGAGAGAGAGAGAGAGAGAGTATAATAGAAAAAGGTAAAAATACGAGCGGGGTGATGCTAAAGAGTAGTGATAGTAACATGTCGCTCATTGTTTAGAATGTTCCACATCAGATATCCCTGACTTCAGAAGAACCCAATTCCAGTGAGACTTGTAGTAGGAACATCATCTAGAGAATGACATAAGTAGATGTTAGAGACGTTGAAAGTTGAAGAGTATTACAGTCAAAGGGTAGTGCAACTTTATAGGCATTATCATTATTTTTTTGTCAAAATAGAAACGGAGCCAATCTTTCTTCAAATATATAGGCCTGTGTTCTGTTTAGCAATAAATAACACAAACAACAGGGAAGATTCATGCCAGGAATGTAACAGAATTAGACACGAAATAAAATGTTAAGGCAAATGAAGTCTTTAAAGTGACTAGCATGTTATATGTTTGACCATGTAGCAGTCTCAATTTTTGTACCTTCTAATCAAAAGAATATGCATTTACCTGGCAATTGTATATGGCTCCACCGTCAAACTGTCATGATCGCCTCAAGATAATGTGACACACATCCATATCTAATACATTGCACAAAACTTCACAAACATATTGTTTTCCTATGGAGAAGGTTACTCTGCACATGTTAGAAACTAATATCTCCTTACCTTTTTTTTACCCAACTAATTTGTAAGGCAACATGTTGTTTATGATTTTAAGTTGTAGGTGTTAACATGTTCCACCGGTGAGCAGAACACAAGCATGAAGCCACTCCCATGTGTCAGCAGCAACTAGGAACGAATTCTTGCAGAGAACGTTCTGTCCTTTATTACCTTTCTATTATTCTTAGTCTTTATATAATGTTGTATTGTTCACAGTTCAAGGCATAGAATAGAATACCACATTCTGCTTCTTCCCTTTTGCATCTCTTTTCTGCTCTTTGTTTTGAGTGCAGGTAAGAATAGAGAAGCATTTTCATGGTATCAGAGAATTGCTAAGCCTTACGACTTTCTTTTCTTCGGCTTCTTTTCTCTATCTTTTCTAGATATGGAATATGGTAATTCCTCCGCTGCAAACAGTACCACCGAAGCTGCCCAACAGCTCGACACTACTACTATACTTCCCTAGCTGAAATTCTTAAAATCTACCATTAAGAACGTCATCATAGTTCAATTAACTCCAAAAAATCACCTTACCTGGAGGTCGCAGGTGCCGAAGATATTTCGGGCGAATGGATTCGAGGGATATCTCGTTGGCTCCATTCGTCATCCACCCAGGCAAACTACTAATGATACTGGTGCTATAATCTCTAACCCACTGTTTTCTACTTGGATGCTAATTGATCAGAATCTTGCCGCAGCATTGTTCTCTACTGTCTCCGCGCCATTGGTTTCAAATGTTTTTAATCTGGATTCTTGTGTTGACATTTGGGAAACAATTGGAAAGCGCCTTCAGTCAACAAATCGTTCCCATATCAAAAAAATTAAAAATGATCTTCATCACATTTCCATGGCAAACAAGTCTAAGCAACAAACAAGTCTATGCAACAATACTTGTCTGATATTAAGATAAAGGTTGACACCCTTACAATGGCTGGCTGTTCTCTCGATCCAGAGGATGTGATTCTATATACACTTAACGGACTCCCCGCCTCCTATCAAAGCCTTTAAGATGGCCATCCGCACCAATTTATAACCATTAAGTCTTGATGACTTATACTTACTCTTATGTAGTGAAGAAACAAATTTAGAAACTGAAGCCGCAAAGAATCTCCATTCAATGCAAATCTCGGAAGCTCTACTCGCTCTTGCCGTGACTTGTGGAAGAGGTGGTAACAGTCATCCTTTCCGTTCTCATCGTGGTTGTCAGTTCTCTTCCTCTCGTGGTAGTGGCCACTCTCCGTCTTTTCATGTTGAATGCCAAATTTGTGACAAACCAGGGCATGGGCATTCAGCAATCAAATGCTGGCATAGAACTAATCTGAACTACAACAACAACTCTTCTACTGCTTTGCTTGCTGAAATTACAGACGCGTCCTCTACCTCGCCTGAGTCATAAACGAAGAGGTTGTTATCTTCTCTGTGATTGTGCTGGTAAGCAAAAATGCCCCAAACTAAAGCCATATTTTTTAAACTTGTATGAGATCCAGTACTTCAAAATTTTCATCATCTACTGCTCTGTGGCAGTTTTTTTCATTTCTGAATCCCTGTTTTTTTGGAGTGAACAAATTTTTTCAGAAAATTTTCAAAACAGTCCTGAGTTCTTTGACAGAAGAACCACATAGTAAATTGATTCAGCATTTGAGCCAATGAGTGCCAGAGGAAGTTCAGCAAATGAGTAAATTACCGGGAATCATCACGACTGCTGTGCTCTAGAAGATGCTAGAGATGGAGCTTGTGGAGAACGATAGATCTGAGTTTTGAATTTTTTTTCGATGTCACGCATGTATGTAACCAAATAAATAAATAAATAAATAACTAAAAAGTCATACAAAAACTTTTAAGCAAAATTTTTTGCCTTTAAATGTTTAATGTTTAATTTTATACTTTTGTATAACGGTTTAATCTCTCAACATAATATATATTTTTTCTTGTATTGTATTTTAAAACAATTAATAGTGATAGTATTTTTAATATGAATTATAAGAATGAAAAAGTTCCTAATTTTATCAGCTACTGTTTAAGCTAATACATAGACATTGTTCAGGTTTGAATTGTTGTCATAATTTTAGCAGGTCTAATTACATTATTGTTGTTAATTTCCTTTTTGCTTGTATTTGTCAATTATTGAATGCATTAGTTGCTAAATAAATTGTTCATTCAAGTTAGGAAGAATGTAGCTAATGCTTTTATAAATACACTAGTTGTAATGCCAAAATAAATTATTACAAAAAACCGCTTTTATTTTACTCTGGTTCTACCTAACCAAACAAGGGAAACAATTCTCCTGCATTTATTTTGCATACAACTAAACAGTCTCAAAGTATTCGGAATGCACTACATTTACATTACATTATATTTACTTTTCAGGCAATCAAACAGCCTTTAAATAACAAAGAAAAACCTCCACCAAACGGTCACTTGCTACTCCTCCACCTGTTGTTCAAGACAGCCGGGAAAAGCTTCCCCGTCATTTACCTCGTCTTCCTCCACCTGTTTGCTCGAACTGCAGGTTGTTGTGATGATCGGCTCCCTACATAAACTCCACAAGCAAATCTGCCGATTCAAGCCTAATCTTGCTCACGCCCGGCCTCCATTGTGCATTTTGATCCACAACCCTAGCTCATGCTCCCGCAAATTCTAAACCATGCGTGCCTGCATTGGTTGTTGTTCCTCCCGCGATCTGCACGCCTGAGCCCTGCGCAACGCCTATTCCATGAGCTTTTGACCCAACCTCGGCCCCCTTATTCGCCTATTCCTAGGGCTAATCAAGCACCCACGCACGACACATCCTCCAGTCCAGTTCCTATCGTTATTGTAGCCGCAATTAAGACTCCAATAACTATTCTTGGATAATTCTTTATATTAAACAAGTTTCTTTCATCCAATCCATACAGAATCCCGCCTGCTTCTGTGCCTTGCAGGAATTCCATGAGCAATTCATCAATTCGTCGCATCATGCTTGTCTAGATCGCCCATAGGGCTTCAAGGATTCGATCATCATCAGTAGCTATTCTCTTATTGCTCTCTACCATTCTTCCCAAGCTCCAAGCTTTGGTACCAACTAATCTAGTCAGTTCAAGAAGGCCCAGATGCAAAATAGAAAGTAAAAAGAAAATGGTATCAAATGTATTATGTCTTCCTCCTCCTATATTCCTTACATTAAGATGGATATTACTAAAACTACAGTAACTAACAAAAGGATGACATCAATATTGCATAACAGAAAAACGAAAAAAATGCAGGTGGCTGTGGTGGCTAAGGAGTGGGCAATGGTAATATGTCCCTATGGTTACAATGCTCCGCATCATTAAAGATGCTTGCATACACCAAAAAGAAGCTAACACTAGGCTAACAGAGCTACATAAACTTACATAAACAAGAATAAATCAGTTGCTGCTTTTTAAGACTGTGTTAGACATCTGGCAATTATCAAGGCAACAAAAAGGATGCCTAAGTTGTCGTCCAAAGCAAAATACCTTGCCAAACTATTATTCTTCATTATAAAAAAATTGATAACAGAAGTTATTTTGTAAATCAACCGACATTCTGAAACTTGGACTTACTGCTCAGGTACTCTGTCACGTCTGAGACTACTTTATTCTCTTGAGTGAACTTTCCAATGTTGAATAAGCAACTTCATCAGTCAGACTCTTGCTTTCCCTTGCATAATCAAACACCTCATAGGCTTCTGCAATTTTATTTGTCCTGCACAATGTCCTGAGAAAAGTTGCATAAGTAGGACTCTCCAATTTCATACCCCCATTAGTCATCACTTTATACAACTCCATTCCCTTATCCAGGCTCCCAGCCTTGCACAGCCCCATAAGCAGGGCATTGTAGGTGAACTCATTGGGGCTGCAACCCTTCTCTTCCATTTCCCCAAGCAACCTTAGAGCCCCCAATGTGTCTCCTTTCCTACACATACCGCTAATAAGAGAAGTATAGGTAGCAATATCTGGAAAATACCCTGAGTTTGCCATCACATTCAAGAATTTCTTAGCCTGGTCGATCATGCCGGCCTTGGAGAGACCATAAATCAATGTATTGTAAGTGACTAGATCTGGTTCAATTCCTTCATCCCTCATCTTGTTGTAGACTTCCATCACCTCTCCGCACTGGTCCAACATGCAGTAAGCCTTCATGATGTTGTTGTAGAGGTAACAATCTGGCTTGATGCCAGAATGCTTAAGAACGCCGAGCAGGCGTGTAGCTTCGCGGAGGTTGCGGCAACGGCAGACTGAATCGATGAGGATGGTGTAGGTGATGCGATCAGGGTGAATCCCGGCCACATTGCGGAGCTCATCAATAAACAAGTAGACAGCGGAGAGCGAGCGGGTTTTGGCAAGGCGGCCTACAAGGAAGTTGTAAGTGAAGGGGTCGGGATGGAGAGAGAGGCCGCGTAGAAGGAGTTCAGCGGCGTCGTCCTCGCGGGAGGCGGAACAGAGGGCGCGAATTGCAAGGTCGGTGGATGATGAGTCTGGGGGGAAGCCGGAGGAGGACATCAGGTCGAGGAATGTGAGGATGGGAGAGATGTCTCCGATGGTAGGCTGGAGGCAGGAGTGGACGAGGAGGATGTGGTAGGTTGAACGGGTGGGTGAGAAGGAAGGGAAGCGGAGGGACAGGTGACGGAGAAGGGCGAGGGAGTCAGTGGGCGAGGCGCCAGCGTTGCAGAAGGAATGGAGAAGAGTGTGGGGATCAGCGGAAGAGGAGGAGTCAACGATGGAATCAACGATCGCGGTAGCTTCTGAAAGGGCAGGAGAGTGGAAGAACTGGGGAGGAGAGGGAACCGAGATAGCGCCGCCGGCAGCGGCTTTTCCTGATTCAATCTTCTTCGTCGCTTTCTTCTGCTTGGCGGGGCTTTTGTAGAGGGGAGTTCGGAGTTTTCGGGTTTCCGGCGCCGGCGAAGAGTTGGGGGTTTGGGTAGAAGGAGAAGGCCGGGGTTTGAAGAAGGAAAGGGGAAGAGGAGCCGATCGCATTGAAGGCGGGAGCTTGCCCATCTGAGTGAATACGGAGGCGAAGCTTTCTCTCGCGCTTGCTTTCTTTCCGATTAACGGCGGTTGGTGTCGATGGCGGGGTTTAGGGTTTAGCGCGAACGGCGTTGTATACTAATGAGAATGCATGATGACCCCTCCATCCATGAAACTTAATTTCTACCTTATTTTCCCTCCCAATAAATTCAACTTAAGAAGATGAGAACCTAACATAAGATTTTTTTTAAGAACCTTAGCTTAATTTATCAATAGCTCAACAAAGTTTGTGTTTTCATTTGTGATCTTGAATTTGAATCCCTCTTCTTTAATTTGGATTTAGTAGAAACAAAAAATGGTTAATTATGTGCATTATAATTTCTTAGGATTTAAATTCATTTTTTGTTAATAATCTTTTACAATGTAAAAAAAAAAAACTTTTTAATAACCCATAAAGATAGGTATTATCTAAATAAAATATCTCAATTTACAAGCAAAAAGAGAGGAAAAATATAACTAAATTTAGAATTTTGAGACTGCAACAATATTGATAGTAAAATTGCTACAAAAAAAATAACTATTCTGTTTAAAAAAATAATTTTCATCATAAATATTTTTGAAAAGCAATAAAAAAATAATAATATTGCAATATTATGATTATTATAAACTAACAATAAAATTCTCTCGAACAATCCCTTAGATCATATCGAAAAGAGAAGTTCTTGCACCAGCCCTAACTTAATAAAAATAAAAAAATAGATAAATTTGATGATCTTAAAATTTATCCTAATAAAAAATAAATTATGAAGCATTATTTGTATTTACATAATAATTTTATAAATAATATTCAAGTCTCATTTTAATAATTTAATAATGCATAGATATCTGACATCGAGATAACATGTTGCCTAACAAAAAACATAAACGACTGCAAAAAGAAAAAAAAAAGATATTTCAGTATAATTTTGTAGTTAACTAAGGCTTTGTCAGCGTTCTTACTGTTTTTTAAAATAATTTTTTAGTACAAAATTAAAAATTTATATTAAAAAGCTGATTTAAAAAACAGTAAAAAATCCGTCCCAAACAACGCCTAAGATAACATCCATAAGCACATTAGCCACTATTAACTGACAATCAAGCAGAGGATGTATGCAGGCTAGAAAAGCTGCAAAAATACATAATTTTAGTCATTTCTCTACAATAGGATACCAGCTGACCATAGCTTACTCCATCAAAACAAAATATTGATAAAATCCAAAGTTTTGCTGCCTATAATGAGAGGAAAAATAACTTAGAAGGGTATTATTCCCCAACCTAAAAAATGTACAGAAAAACGCCAACTAAAATAAGTACCAGCTTGAAGTTCTCTCTTCAGTGACTCTGCCTTGCTAATTTGATTTCAATTCAGTCTCTTTCAGGAGCTAAATCTTTTCTGGCACTCAGATTTCCAGTATATGACCAAACCCTACTATCTACATCATCTGAAGCAGGCTTTCCCCATCGTCTAGGGCTTCCAGTGAGAGGAGTGGAGGAACAAAATGGTGTGGAAAATGGAGAAGCATAAGGGGTGTTCTGGATTGAGAATGGGCTGGGTGAGATCCTTTTTTGAATGGGTATTCCTCCAAGTCGACCTCGGTTGAACAAATTAACTTCGTCGGAAGCAATGCATTTCTTGGTTGAATCGTCGACAAAAATCAGGTCATCAATCCTCGCCATTATGTTGAATGCCAAGCTCTCCATGACTCGCGAATAGCTCTCGAGGATGGACTGCCCAACATCCTGCATTGAGAGGAATGTATTGTGTAGATAGGAACAGAGATCAATTGAAGATAACATTTAAAATTATTGAAAATACATATTTAACACCTAAATTTCTATATTTACCAATATACCACAAAAAGCTAATTTTTTAATCCATTCTAACATTCTGTTTAAACCTTCTGTCAAAAATCACTATAAACGACTATCTTCCCCGTCAATGGCATCCTTTCACAGTGAATACAAGTATCTCATCGCTTCAATGGAGTTGTAGAATAGAAGGAAAATGAGATTTTATGTGATATATTAGTAAATATAAAAGTTTAGGTTTTCAATATGTATTTTCAATAGTTTTAGGTGTTATGTATGTAAAAATCCCATAAATATTTTAAACTAAAAAATAGACAAACAAATGATTTCTAGGAGGCTCAAAATCGGATTGATTCGAGCCAAGTTAGTTCAAAATCAAATCTAGATAGCACTGAATCAATTAAAAAATAGATCATTCTCAACCCTATATATAGTCAAGGATAGTTATGACTGACTCAGATTTTATATTTGAATTATAGAACTAGAGCATGGCAAAGCAACAATAAGGGAAAAAGAGGTAGAAGTATTACAACATAAAAGAAGAAAGCGGTAATAACCTTATTGTATTGGATCTTGTTCATGTCTAGAACAGTTTGAGGAAGGCCGGGATATCTTAGTCTTAAGCTCTTGAGAAGCCCTTCTGCCCTCTCTGCTAAAAGCTGGCTCCTTTCTGTAGCAGTGACGAGACCCTTCACCTTTCCTCCCCATGACTTTTTACCCTTTGAATGAAGAGGGTTTCTTTTTTTATTTTTCAGGCTCCAAACATGTGTGGCTGCCTCGATTCTGTTTGCTATGTCCAAAGTATGGTGCTCAGATGACAGATCTAAGCAATCAAGAAGACATTCTGGTGAAAACTTTTCAGCTGTTATGTAACGGTAGATAATTTCACCTAAACAAGACTTTCCACTCTGCGAATAGTAAAAAATTAATGAGATTCAATTAGAAGCACTTCCACTTGCATAAGAGTTTCATTGAATCATTGTATCTAATTATTTCAAATATAAATGCGCAAATATAGTATAAAGTTAGCATATAAGTATAATAGATGGAGTGGAGTGTAAAAAAGATTTGCAATGCCAGGAGCAGAGTGAAAAAGTTACCGTATCATTCTCATAATATAATTTATGTATCACCTTCATACAAATTTGAAGAATTTTAAAATAAAAGATAGAAGATGGAAACTATGCATTAGTCAAGTGATCAATGGATACAAAAGAAATAGTTTCTGAGAGAACACTTGCGTATTATGAAAAAAGAGTCCCAACTTTGGTTTTTAAGGGTTTTGGAAGTTACGAGGTCAATAATTAGAATTGAGAGTTCAAAAACTTAATCAACATTTAGCTTCATAATTGATAGAAAGATCAACTAATCCAACCGTATACTTTCAGGAAAATCAAAAGCAATAATTGATTTTGTTGTTATGTGCGGAATCTAATTGTGTTGATTAATCTGCTTGTTATGTTGTCTCGGACATCAAAGTATGTCGTGTTCGTTGAGGGATGCGGGGGTCTACCCCTGCTTGGGTCCGAGTGCTTTGCACCCTTTTTTTTCTTTTGTACAACTCCTCGGAGCTGTGTACCCGAGCACCCCAGCGTTGTGTTCTTGAGCTCCCCAGCGCTGAATGACAGGAAGCAGAGCGTCACAGCAGTATAGATACAGTGTTGCAGCGATGCAAGACAGGCATGTTGCGAGACGGACTGGATGGTTTGCTTTCTTGTTTTTCTGAATGGTTACATCCCTTGGGATTATTTTACTTAGCTTTCTGATGCGGACATCGGCACGAAAATCTGGCGCATCTATCACAGGAGGCGTCGTAAATCGACGGCTCTGATTTAAGTTGTCATTTATGAATTATTTTATGCATTTTAGTTTCTATTTTATGTTATTTCCTGTTTTACCCCTAGGTTAATTTATTTGAGTGTTGTAGCCCGAGGGGCAATTTTGTAATTTTTATTTTCTCATGTTTTGGCCTATATATATGGCCTTTAGCTATTGTAATAGGATGGTTGATTAATATGAAAAAAAAATTTGTATTCCACACTTTGTTCTTGGGAGAGAATGAGAGTGAGATTCCTATGAGAGGAATCGAAGTTGTCACCAGCCGCAGGATGGGTCCGGGCTCGTGATTTGAAGTCCCTTGGAGAAGGGCAATCGGATCACCCGTCAGTCTTCGGAAGAGTCCGAGGCTCGCGGTTTTTTTTTTATTTTCTCTTTATCGTTTGTTTAAATCTTTATTTTTGTTTTATCTCTTCCTTAATTGTTTTTTTTTTTCCATCGTCTTCCTCCTCCCCATCTTCATTTGGCCACCGGATTCACCCCTAGACCCGAACCCGTGCCGCCGGCTCCACCCCATTAGCCGCCGGCCGAACCTTCCTCTCCACCCCCTTTTGGATTTCCTAATTTGGTTGGGTTAATTTAGGGATTAATTTGAATTTGAACTTAATCAAATTCAAATTTCAAATTCTTTCCTAATTTGGTTCATCTATTTTTGGAAAGTGCTTAATTGAAATCAAATTTGAAATTAAATTCAAAATTTGATTTATTGCTTCACTTTCATAACTCCTAAATTCGAATCAATGAGCTTTAAATCACCTCCTTTAATGCTTCATTAAGGGATTTAATTGCATGCCATTTGAATTTCAAATTCAAATTTCAAATTTGCATGAGAAATTAAGTGCCCCCTCAATTTCCTCCCTTTAATTAAGGAATTAATCGTAGCTTTAAATCTAAAATTTAATTTCAGATTTTATGATTAATTCACTTAAGTAATTGGGGCCCACTTATTTGAAATCAAACCCCTCTCCCTTCCTCTCTCCTAGGCCGGCCACTCTTCCTCATTCCTTTGCTTAATTAAGAGTCAATTAATGCTCCTAATTAACTCCTTCATTAACTCAAAGCTCTTTGGAAAGAATTACAAATCTGAGATTTTGTGTTTGACCGGAATTTCCAACCAGTAAAATCCCATTTAATTGTTTTCCTAAACTCTAAGTCCTTTTGGAAATAATGTCAATGCCCGTAACTCCTCTTGGCTGAATTTCTCATTCATATCTCTTTCTTAGGCATTATTTCCTAATAAGTTCCACACCCTCATCAATCCCGTAACCCCCACCTACTTGTTTTTGGAATACTTTCCTAAAACCTGGTTAATTCCTCCAATTACAGGAATTAGGAATTTAATTCATTTCCACATTGGCATTCACTCACTTTTATTTCCCTTTCCCCCTTCTTTTTTGCTCCAGCCAAATTTTTCAAAGTCTGTTACGGGAGAAGGCAAGAGTTGGGGAAAGAAATTAATGTGTTAATTGTGTTGCTTGGTATTTACTCAGTTTTATTTTAGTTTATTGCCCAAATCAGTTCACTGATTTTGGGATTTGAAATCCATCAAATCCTTGTCATCTTGCTGTTCCCTTCCTCTCCAAATTGCTCCAGGTTTTGAACAAAAACCTGAAGAAAATTTTCAGATTTTGTGAGCTGGGATAAATCCAGATTTATTTCAGTTTTTGCAAGGAACAATTTCAGATTTCGGAGAGGAGATCCTCTCCGTAGCAAAGCCGGCGTTCTCGTTCTACATCACTTTCTCTTGTATTTTGTGTGTGTAGACATTGAGAACGATGCATGTGAGTAGAGAATAAATGAGAGAGTGAGAGAGAAGAGAGATCTATACTTATTTCTCCCAATTTTCATAATGGATTTCTTAGTGTGATATGGCACCGTGATTTTTTTCCCTATTTTGGGGTTTTCCACGTTAAATTTTGAAGTCATTTATTTTTCTACTGCATTTACTTTCTTGCTTGTTTCGTCATTGCGGTATACTCCACCTCATCTCCCCAACAGTTGTTTCATCATGATCCAATGAAAAATGATGTTAACAGTCTAGTTAAAAAATGCTCTTTTCTCTCTTCTTCTTTCCCTTAGGAAGTTTTCTTTTAAATTTATAATTTTCTCGGAGCTGTCATTTTTCTCTCCGCAAGCATTTGTTTGTTTCACCATCTTTCAAACGTTGTAGAGTTAGAAGGTAATCTCACCTTCTCCATTTTCTACTATGTTGAGGATGGAAGTAAAACACTGCAACGAAACAAACAAGAAAGTAAAAGTGGCGGAAAGTACTGGACACTAGTATTTAATGTGGAAAAACCTGAAATCGGGAAAAAATCACAGAGCCACACCACACCAAGCAACCCGCTATGAAAATTTGGAGAAATAAATACATATCGCTCTTTTCTCTCACTATCTCCTTGCTTCTCTTCTATCTTGCACCGTTCTCACAGTCAAAACAAAAGAAAAAGACAAGTATAGAATGAGTGTGTTGACTGCTATTTTTAAGAATAAAGGTGATGAAAAAGATTCTGCAAATTATAGGGAAATTAAGTTAATGTGTCATACTTTAAAGCTATTGGAGAGAATTATGGGGCATATATGTTGTGGCGTGATACTAATGTTTCTCAAAATCAATTTGGATTCATGCTGGGTAGGTCTACGATGGAAGCTATAGAGTTATTGAGAGGTTTGACGGAAAAGTATGGAGAGAATAAAGAGGATCTACATATGATGTTTATTGATTTAGAGAAAGCATATGATAAATTTCCTAGAGAAGTGCTATGGAGAGTTCTAGAAAAGAAATGGTTATTAATGGTTATATTCAAGTTATTAAGGATATGAATGCAGGAGATATTACTTGTGTTCAAACACAAGGTGGTTTGACAAAGTATTTTCCTATTTCAGTTGGATTACATCAAGGATCGGCCTTAAGCCCTTATCGTTTTGCTTTAGTCAGGGATGTCCTCACTAGCCATTTGTAAGAGGTTGTACCCTAGTGTATGCTTTTTGCTGATGATATTCTTCTTGTTGATAAAACTAGAGAGAGATGAATGTACACTTAAATTATGGAGGTCAACATTAGAGTCTAAAGGTTTTCATTTGAATAGATCTAAAACTGAATATATAGAGTACAATTTTAGTAGTAATAGATCTAGTAGGGGGATTGTGAATTTGGGCAATCAAGTCATTAATAAAAGTACACGTTTTAGATATCTTGGATTTATTCTTCAGAGTGATGATGAAATAGATTGGGATATTATTAATAGAATTCAAGTTGGATGGTTTATGTGGAGGAATGCATCAGGTTTCTTGTGTGATATAAAAGCCCCCATTAAACTTAAGGGAAAATTCTATAAGATGTTGGTGAGACACTAAGACCTACAATGCTTTATGGTGCATAATGTTGGTCATTAAAAGAGAAGCATAATATTAATTTAAGTGTTGCAGAGATGAGGATGCTCAAGTGGACGAGTGGCTATACTCTTAAAGATAGAATACGAAATGAGCATAACGTGAAAAAGTTGGAGAAGCTCCAGTGGAAGATAAGATTAGAGCGAGTTGCCTTAGATGCTTTGGTCACATAAAATGACGACCTTCCGATGACCCAATTATGATAGTAAATGTATTAGATTTGGCTTATGTTAAAAGAGGAAGAGGTAGACCTAAAAAGATTTTGTTAGAAAATATTCTAAATGACATATTTTTATTAGATTTAAATGAGAATTTGATTCTTAATAGGACATAGTGGAGAAAAAGGATTCATGTAGTTGAACCCTCATAGTGGGATAAAGGCTTCATGTTGTTGTTGTGATTGCAAAGCACCCGAACCAAAATAAGGGGAGGGCCTCCACACCCCCCAACGAGCACGAGAAATGACTTGAGGTATGAGGCAACAGTATAACCCGATTGATCAACACAATCAAATTCCACCTCAACTCATAAACTTGATTAGCATAAGCTATTAGTTATTGTTAATTTTAGAGTTTAGCTTGCTTGAATAAAGATGTAGGATAAATTATATGATTAGGTTATTAGTGCAATTTTATCCCACACTAATAATGGTCAACCCAACTAGATAATATGGGATAAC